GCAGTGAAAATCAGTGGATCCGGCACGGCTTTATGCATGCGAACTACAACGACAGTTAAGGGAACAATCCTGGAGTCCCTGTGACCAATGGCTGAGGCGATGAAACAGCGTGACCCCTTTCGCCGTCTGTGCTATACTAGACATCCCTACACTTGTACTGGACACTGAGTCAATGTAGCCACAGATAGGACCGCCTTTGTCTTGTTCGCTGTTTTTTCTCAAGTGGTTGTAGAACACTGATGAGGATGTCTTCTCCGTGACTTCCTAACTAGGGAGGAGTTACGCGTTTTAACTACAATCAGCCGTGTTTGCGTCCAGTGTGAAAAATGGCAGCATTCAAATCGGCGTACCCATTGGAAAAGAATACTGAGGCAAAGTGGGTGAGACTGGGTCGTCCCACTTGGCAACTGTTATCGAAAGAGCCTGACTCGCCCCAAAGCTTAATGTTTGCATGAAATCCTCTTCTTTTGGTTGTTAATCTGATTCAAAATGCCCTAACGCCATGAGTCTGGGGTGGAAAGACTCACACAGCTCTCAAGTTGTGCTTGCAAATCACCTCTGGTGGCCTTCTCACTTGGATTCCACGCTAACGACATGACCGACAATATTAAAAATATGCTGCGTTCCATCAAACTTAAAATGCACAACACCCGAATGCCACTTGACACAAATGTGATCCTTTTTGCACATTAACACCATTCAAGGTCCGAATTTCACACTTCCACTACTACTGCCATGTGAAATTACGAGTTAACCTTGTAGGTCATAAATTGCAAAAACTAGAAGAAACGAGTTGTCAAAATTTGGTGGACTTTTCAAATACACCCTTAGGCACATCAATTCCATCATACTTACAGCTACACTTGGCGATTGCCAGGAATGCAATGAACGAAAAACATTCCCACGAAATACGATTCGCGAGTTTTGCGAGGAGCCGCGATGGTGCGCAAACTAAGTAAGACGTTCAATTGTTCAAAACAACTTTATGCAAATGCATCACACTCAGGCCAATGGACTATGCAAATAAGGGTTTTGGGGATCACAGTGCACCTGATTCTCCACACTTGACTTGCATTCACAAATGACACTCCTAATATGTGGTGGTGAAGGCATGTGAACAAAGTGGGCGGAGAGAGGGAAGCATTCGCAATTCCTCTATGGGATGAACATGAGCGAGCTCGGGCCTCGCCAACTGGTGATCGTACTGCCCTACATGGACTTTCCTGCTGATAATTTGCATATCCAAGCTGCAGCTCATTTTGGGAAGCCACTCAAGTGTTAAGATAGCCACTGAGACACAAAAATGTAAAAAAGTGCTAGTCAGGCCAGAGACAAGTGAAATCAACAGCCGACTGGGGCATCAGGAGAACAGTAAAGTGGATTTACAATCCACCACTGCTTTTCTTTCTGCAGTGAAAATCAGTGGATCCGGCACGGCTTTATGCATGCGAACTACAACGACAGTTAAGGGAACAATCCTGGAGTCCCTGTGACCAATGGCTGAGGCGATGAAACAGCGTGACCCCTTTCGCCGTCTGTGCTATACTAGACATCCCTACACTTGTACTGGACACTGAGTCAATGTAGCCACAGATAGGACCGCCTTTGTCTTGTTCGCTGTTTTTTCTCAAGTGGTTGTAGAACACTGATGAGGATGTCTTCTCCGTGACTTCCTAACTAGGGAGGAGTTACGCGTTTTAACTACAATCAGCCGTGTTTGCGTCCAGTGTGAAAAATGGCAGCATTCAAATCGGCGTACCCATTGGAAAAGAATACTGAGGCAAAGTGGGTGAGACTGGGTCGTCCCACTTGGCAACTGTTATCGAAAGAGCCTGACTCGCCCCAAAGCTTAATGTTTGCATGAAATCCTCTTCTTTTGGTTGTTAATCTGATTCAAAATGCCCTAACGCCATGAGTCTGGGGTGGAAAGACTCACACAGCTCTCAAGTTGTGCTTGCAAATCACCTCTGGTGGCCTTCTCACTTGGATTCCACGCTAACGACATGACCGACAATATTAAAAATATGCTGCGTTCCATCAAACTTAAAATGCACAACACCCGAATGCCACTTGACACAAATGTGATCCTTTTTGCACATTAACACCATTCAAGGTCCGAATTTCACACTTCCACTACTACTGCCATGTGAAATTACGAGTTAACCTTGTAGGTCATAAATTGCAAAAACTAGAAGAAACGAGTTGTCAAAATTTGGTGGACTTTTCAAATACACCCTTAGGCACATCAATTCCATCATACTTACAGCTACACTTGGCGATTGCCAGGAATGCAATGAACGAAAAACATTCCCACGAAATACGATTCGCGAGTTTTGCGAGGAGCCGCGATGGTGCGCAAACTAAGTAAGACGTTCAATTGTTCAAAACAACTTTATGCAAATGCATCACACTCAGGCCAATGGACTATGCAAATAAGGGTTTTGGGGATCACAGTGCACCTGATTCTCCACACTTGACTTGCATTCACAAATGACACTCCTAATATGTGGTGGTGAAGGCATGTGAACAAAGTGGGCGGAGAGAGGGAAGCATTCGCAATTCCTCTATGGGATGAACATGAGCGAGCTCGGGCCTCGCCAACTGGTGATCGTACTGCCCTACATGGACTTTCCTGCTGATAATTTGCATATCCAAGCTGCAGCTCATTTTGGGAAGCCACTCAAGTGTTAAGATAGCCACTGAGACACAAAAATGTAAAAAAGTGCTAGTCAGGCCAGAGACAAGTGAAATCAACAGCCGACTGGGGCATCAGGAGAACAGTAAAGTGGATTTACAATCCACCACTGCTTTTCTTTCTTCTCCTACATTTCTGAAAATTCGCACAAAACATTGCCTCGCTGAACGGTGGTTAGGGAAAGTCCAAAGCGTCCAGTGCTGTTCCAAGCGAGTCGAAGAAAAACGCTCAAAATCACTGGCATTAAACAAAT